AGGTATCATGGCAGGTGGATTGACAGTGTTTGGAAATCGCGCTCTAACGCTGGCGCTTTGAAAGAAAAACACATCAACCTATATATTTTCTGAAAGCTTAATAATTATAGAATACAACCGTCTTTGAAATTTTCCAAAAAGTTATTGTCGCAGTGATATTGAAACAAATACCCAGAAACACTGCTTTACTTAAACTGGTTCGCTTCCGCGCGTGAATTATCGGAGCGGCGCGATTAACATCGCAAATGTTTTCTGACACATCACGTTCAAAAAGAGTGTCGGCGATTTTCCAGATGTCGTTTAGTTTTTTTTCTACACCCCCCTAAAGTTTGATATTTTCAATGCGGACGTTTCTCTCCACTTGAGAGGCCATAAGTTTGAAACGAAAGCGAAATTAAACAAAGCCCGACACACTTTTCGAAGGAGGTATCCTGGAACATACCGGCCGATTTTCAGCCAATTCCGTCGGAAGACGCCCGTAAACGAACTAAGAATGTTCATCCTTATACATGTATGCAGTTTTATTTTATCGCGAAAAAGACGAAAAACCTTTTATGAGATTGGTATGATTAGGTGGTAAAAATCCCCCACGCACTGACAGATGTCGGCACGGGTCAGTTTACCAAAACAATGGGTTATGACAACTTGAAATAAACAGACGACTACAATTCTGGCGCGGAAACTCGCAGTGAAATCGTCCGAGAAACGACAAACTACCAAGAGCTTTACACAGGTATGTATATAAACTGCCGTGATTTCTTTTACTTAAAAGATTTCGTCGGCGGCATTGGTATTATGTTGCTCTAGTTTAGGCTTCTTCGTTCTCTAGACATTTTTTTAAACCATGCCTCGTGAATCCAAAAAGAGGAAATCTCGAGGTCTACATCGTCTGCGTCTACATCTGCGCTTGTCTCTCTCTTTGTAAAAGTTTCGGAATCGCGTTCGTTCTCCAGCAATTTCGTACGACTACTTGTTGTATTTTGTCCTTCGGCTTAATTGGCGGGACTAGTGTCCTCGAGTTCCTCCAACCATCCTTCTTGGTTACAGTGCGACCCACGGTCGCTCAGAGCCAAACATCTTGTTTGACCCTGAACCTGTGGGTTCAACCAGATTTTCGCCTCTTCGGCTTCTTCGAAGACGAAAATGGGCAAGAAGTTTTCTTGCGTTCTCGTCCTGACATAAAGAAAATTTGACAAGAACGAAAGCTAACTGGCGATGAAACAACCGGATCGAGAACAGTTCGCGTGCACAAATGAAATATCACACCGCAATTCGCATGACATGTGACAACTGGCGGTGAATTTTAATTAGAGGTGTCAACTCACCGTAAGAGGTTAATTAGATTCAAAAATAGTTTTTCTCTTTATCTTAAAAAGTAAAAAAGCTTTTTTCTCCATTCTTTTTCAAAATATTTCTCTCAGTCTTCTCAATTTGAACAGCGAAAACAAGATTTTTCGAATTTTTCGTAAAAATCCACCTACCATGACACCTTAATAAAGCTATTTATCGGAATGAGGTCCAGCTTCATTTAGTTATGAATCATGGCTATATCCATATTTATACACAACATAGCATGATAAAATATTTATTAAAACTAACTCCGGAGTGCCTTACGAATGATACGTGCCGATGCAAGCGACTGATTGAAGCCGCCTGTCACCAGGAGAATGATAAACACAATTCCACTACCATTCATCAGGAAGGAAAAGCTGGCGCTTGTATCACATTAAAACATACTAATAATCAGCCCCAGGCCAAACGTGAATCAAATCTTCACACCTTTTAAAATTTGCAAGAAAGTACCACTGCAAAAACGATTTTGCAACGAATTAAAGTACTTCTGTTCCTTACCAATTAGGTTCCTATTCACTGACTCAATTTTTGTTACAGATGTCATTTGGCACTTCCTCGCTTCTTTCCATCGTTGGTAAGATTTTGATACAGATCTTAATTATCCAGACAAATAGAACTTATTCACCAACTAAAAAGTAGGCGAGTCAATCCAAAACGCAGATGCGTTAAATTAATTATTTTTCTTTTAAGAAAGATTTCCGTTAAAGACTGAAGCATCTAAAGGAAGACCCCCAGGTTTTATTTTTTAAAGTAAGCTCATTGAAAATAATCCAGAAATTTCTTACAAGGCATTCTCTTGTTGTACTGTTGTGTTTTTCATTTTCAATTTTTTCAGTTTCAAAACTTTATGAAAACAATTTACCCACGAGATCTTAAATTCGAAACCCCGACTGTTAGAAAGAAAACAATAATAATTTTAATTATTGAATAAGACGACGACACTCAACATTCAAGTAGACTTATTTATGAAACTATCACCTGCGCAAGTCCCATAAAAGCCCTAAGACTATTAGAGGTCGAACCATACAGCACTGTTTCACATCCTATCTTCGCTTTGCTGTTACCGTTCGCTGTCTCATAGACAAGCTACTCTCGACTGATGGATGATATAGTTCTTCTTAGAGATCTCGAGGAAATACA